CTTAACTGACCTGACATGAGGTGACTTTCAGGAGTTTAATAGACTCTCTATGCTACTCCATCAATCTCTTTACAACCTCTTGGTAGGATTCTTTATGTGGCTTCATAACCCTGCAGGAGGGGCGGGGGGGATGAAAAGATAGAAAAAAGATTGGAGGATGGGAAAAAAAGAACCACATTTCAGCGAAAAAAGAATTATGGGTATTGTAGCGGATCATGGGGGCATTTCATTTACAAGACATTCTCATTGTACCCGAGTGCTTCATCTGATGTATTTACCTCTCTTCACCTTTCTCCCTCTCTTCCTCACACTTATATCTGCATGTCTTCAGCTCTGACAGCTGCTCACTTAATAGATCCCGTTTGACAGTGCATAAGCCAATTAAAACGCTGCTGATTTAATTGAGCTGGGCAAAATCAGCCTATGCCAGAAAACGAGTCCATTAAAGAGGCGATAGGGGCCAGTGAAGCGGAGGCCATTCGTGCTGTGAACCAAAGTCGCATCCCGTCCCACTGCCTCCACCATTCCCACTCAGCCCATTGCCATTTGGGGACTCTTTGAGGGTTGAATGCTGATGCTGTAATCCAGCCAAACGGATCAATAGCTATGTTTCTGTGCACCTATTTGTAGTGGTGATGGTGAGGAGAGACCCCCTCATGCAGTTGTATAGCACGTTGGTGTATGGAAATACTTAAGAAATGAGCTGTATAAATGGACATTACTTACGATTTTTATGCCCATTTTGAACTATTGCATAAAAAATGCTTAATGAAAATGCCAACATAAAAATGTATTCGCACAGATGACTAGGATAAACCTTGGTAACACTTTAGATCACAATTCATGCTAGCTCGGCCCACTGAAGCTAAGCAGAGCGGTGCTCGGTAAGTACTCGGTTGCTGCCCGTAGTGGCGTTAGTAAGACCAGCACTCAACATGCACTTCATATGGGTCTTAATGCCCCAGTATATTGACAGAGAATTTATACTCCTCAGTTCTGGACAAGATGTGGTCGTTCTGTGTCCCTGTGGTTGTTAAAATCCCAGGTTGTCCTTTGAAAAAGAGTAGAGGTTTAACCCTGCCATCTAGGCCAAATTTGCCCACTGGCCTCCTAGCTATCTATACTTTGTCTCTTCGCCACCAACCAGCTGATGAGTGGTGTGCAGTATGGTGCAATATGACTGCTGACACATCATCCAAGTAGATGTTGGATACTGGTGGTGGATGAAGTGACCTCCCCCAATGACCCCCCTCCACCCCATGAAATTAAATTTACTGAATAAATTCAAACATGCGCATCAAAAAAGTCATGTGATGCTGTTTTATCAGATCATGGGATGCCAAAAATTGCAGAAAGTGACAAGATATATTTGGACGGACAAAGACATCGGAATATTTTCAATTATAACATATGAGCTATTTCATAGTAACCAAAAGTAATTTATTACATTAAAAAGGCACAAAGTGGTTAATTAGGAAGTGACAATTTAGTTCTCTTTGAGGCATTAGAAGGAAATAGTGTTTTATGCGATGTTCCAGTTTTGCACAAAAGTTTAATTCGCATCTTTGGAAAATAGCTATTAAATTGATTCGTTCAGCCACTTCAGGTGTCCGCTCCTGTTGCTAGAAGGCCACAATCCAGTAATGGTTTGGCTTAAGCCTCAATTATACACACATAAACTGGATAATCAGGGTATTTAGGATCACTTTCAGACAGGTTTACTGGAACTAAACTCTGCAGAAAAGTGGCCATATTAGTCTAAAGGTGAACTTAGGTACTAAAGCTTACTTACAATAGTTAGCAAAGTGCTCGGGTACTCTTGTGAAACACTGTGAAATATATATCTCTGGAACTTCTGAGCCAGGTTTGAGAGAAAATCCACGTGGCCTGTTCTCACCATCATGATATTGCGTCAATTGGGAGATAACCGGCATATCTTACACTACCAGACAGCAAAGCTCTACTCATTCTTTAAGCAGAGTAAGAGATAAAAAAGCCACTTCATTTCAATCAAAATGAGACCGAGATGAGCAGCGGTCCTTGGTGCGTGTATGCATAAATTTGGGGTCTAAAGCTGGTTGAGGCATTCAGGTATCTAACACAGAGTTATACACGATAGAGGCTATCTTTACGGATAATTAAAAATTCTCAATCATTCTCACACAGGCAGATTGAAGACGCCTGAGGGGTTGCGTATAATCTGGCAAGCGTGGCTTTCCTCCTGCTTTAATGCTGGCTTTTATCTCAGTAAAACTGTGCTGATAGTCAAAATGTTCTTCAATTGCGCATAGGGAAAGGGATGTCACAGTGTTTCGTTAATGGTAATCTATACCGCCCAAAAATATACCTGTAAATCTCACCCCTAGCTCTCTGAGCCACAGATCCATCCCTGTCATTCAGTCTAGGAAACGAGGCATTAAAAAGTGATGCATACATTTAGAGAGCCTGGCCCTTGTTCAATCAGAGCAGGTAAAGTCGTTTAGAGATTCCCGGACTGACCACTCTCACAAGTGTGTGTTTAAGCAGAAATGGAAAGGGAATGAGATTTCAGACCTGACAAAGGAGTGATGGTAGAACTCGACAAGCAAAGACAACGGAAGGATGAGATCTCAAATCTAAAAGGAGAGGTTCCTCCTCACCCCACTGTCTCTTAAACTTAAACTGTGTGACAATTTGAAACTTCTCTCTAAGACGACAAAAAAAAAAAAAAAAAGAAATGTAGCCACTCAAACATGAAATAGTCTCAAGACACAGGCCGATTTCACATCCCAAGCTTTGGCAATTGCTCGTCGCAGGATGAACTTGACTTTACCAGGTCAGATCTCTGCTGTAGCGACTGCCCCCCTGCGTGCTCCTCTTGATGGGCTCACTGAGGCAATGCAATAAAATCTGAAATGAGGAACAGCATGCCTGCCTGCAGAGAGAGGAGATGAGTATATGGGCCGCATCACTGAAGCCCTGCAGCTGTGGGTCTGTTTGGAAGACATAGTTCATAACCAGCTGGCTCCGACAAGTCATCATCTCTCCCTAGCATACACGAGCACATGCAGAGCGCACCCAACATTAAGACGATGCCGAGCGGTGCACCATAATTTCATTTTCTCATTGATGTCATCCGATTTGACAGGCAAGAAACGGCAGGACACAAATTGCACACAATAAGATGTGCCAATACACTCCCTCTCTCGTTTTCTCTCGCTCCTACTGGATCTTTTTCTCGCCCCTTTCACTCTAAACCTCACATTTTCTTTACAGAACAATGTAGGGCTGACAGGAAAGTAGAAGGGAATGGGAATGATTTGAACTCTGTGAGCCATAACTCTTCAGATATCACAAGGACACGCACTACCCATTGTGCCGCAGATCTGACAGACTCATTTTCTTATTATTAAAGGTTCGCGGTGTCTAAGAGAGGAACTTCTAACATTTCTCATGTCAAACACAACATTAGTCACATTCAGTAGACCATCTTCAGACATAAAGTTACAGATGAAAAGCAGACAGGTTACCCTGAAGTACAAAATGAGTCCTAAAAATCTCCTTTAAAACTAAAGAAAGTCTACCATTGACTCTAAAGGGAAACATGCATCATATCAGCCTGTCCCAGGCATCAGATTGACACTCACAATGCACAGTAATGCACTTCAAAGGCGTGCCGATCAAAGCACGGGATGCGTATTGGAGCATGCAGCTTGATTAATCCCCTCGAGTGACTCAGGACCGTGTCGGCTCACCAGCAAGGAATCGGTTGTCTCCCAAGCAGCCATGGGGCAACCACAACATGCGGTGGACAGATTCAGCACCATGGAGAGCACCCGCTTAGCACAGGATGGAGGCTTGGAGAAGTCATGCTGAGGCGTCTAGTGATGGGATTAATGAATGAATAACACATCAATAGCAAATGCATTATTGTAATCGCCTTCAGTGCTTAACGTCACATAAATCAGCCATGTCTCTCTGTGTGTTCATTGACTTTTTGGTAATTACAACATTGTGCCAAAGGTTCTTCAAGACGGTTTGCTATATAAAAAAAAGCAAGTCTTCCAAAAAAAAAAAAAGGAAGAATCTGTACTAACTTTGACACTAGGGGAGTCTCGTTTACCATGAGTGTGTATGAATATTAGAAGTACTATTTAAAACTCAAAAAAGCAAGTTGCTAGGAACAGATACAATGGAATGTCAGAGGGAGTACAAAACTACACTACATATAAGCTACACATCCACTTCTTTAATCACGGTACACATGTCTGTATAGCACTTAAGTCTTAACGTTCATTAACATCTAACTGAAGGTTTTCTTCGTTGAAGTCAGAATTATTAGCCCCCTAATAATAGAATTTTTTTCTTCTTTTTAAAATATTTCTCAAATAATGTTTAACAGAGCAAGGAAATTTTCACAGTATGTCTGATAATATTTTTTCTTTTGGGGAAAGTCTTCTTTGTTTTATTTCAGCAAGAATAAAAGCATAAAAGAATAAACCCTTTTAGGGTCAAAATTATTAGCCCCTTTAAGCTCATTTGTTTGACTGTTTACAGAACTATTATGTTTAGAAATGTGTTGAAGAAATCTGCTCTCCGTTAAGCAAAAAATGAGGAAAAAAATAAACAGGGGAGCTAATAATTCAGGGGGGCTAATAATTCTCACTTTAACTGTATATATGTAGTCAAAACTAACATAATTTACAAAATAAGTCAAGAATAAAACATAATTTAGAATAGTATGCTTTAAAGAAAAAAAATAAATTAAAAGTAAACCCAATGAGGCAGTCACAGATAGAATGATTGGTCAGATATATAGAGAGGAGAGAGATAGAGGGAGTCTATTTCTTTGATTTATCTCACTTGTATTGATCTCCCTCTGCCCTTGATGTATTTTACCTGCAGCTCTCAACTTTTCAGGACACGTTGGTGTAAAAGGGCTGCTTTGAAGCAGGCATGACAGCAGCAGATCATGCGCACAAGCTCGTTCAGTAAGTTTGCGCAGAACAACATGGACTCACCCCAGCGTTGTCATGGTGACGATGGTGTACCAGAAAGCCGCCGGGATGCTGGTGAACTTGCTGGCAGAGGAGCCTTTCTCTGCGTAGAACATGACGGTGGCGAAGATGATGATGGCCATGGTGAGCGAGAAGAGCAGGAAGCCCAGCTCGGACGCGCAGCTCTTCAGCGTGTAGCCCAGGATGCGCAGCCCCGCGGAGTGCCGCGAAAATTTGAAAATCCGAAAGACCCTGAAGACCCTGAGGGTGACGAAGGCCCCGCTCACGTCCTCGTTGTCCGTCATGACCAGGCCGATGTAGTAAGGCATGATTGCCACCACGTCGATGATGCTCATGACGCTTTTGACGAACTTGTACCTGCTGGGTGCGGCGATCAGACGCAGCAGGTACTCGACGGTAAAGATCATGACGCAGGCCGTATCCAAACAGAAGAACGCGAGGGCGTAGCGCTCCCCGCACGAGAGCTCCTTCGCGCGGTTTAGCGAGATGCCGCACGGGACCGTCTCCACCACGTTGGCCATAACGGAGACGGCGATGAAAAAGCCCGTGACGTAATAGAAGACCAGCGCCATGGTGCTGGTGTGCGGGTTCTCGAACGCGCGCCACATGGACTCGCGGAACGACAAATCCGGCATGACCAAGTCGTTGTTGTTGTCGTTCTCCTCATCGTCTTGAATTCTCTCCGCGTTCTCCCTTCTGCGATCTTTGTATTCCTCATAACAGCAGTCACCTATTATCTCTGGAATGATGCCGAAGAAGGCCAGCTCCTCGTCATAGGCGGAGATGCACTCGTGGCGAGGGTAGTGCAGCTTCCCGGTGCGGTAGAAGTTGAGAATGTGCCTGAAGATGTCCGGGTCGCGGTCGAAAAAGTACTCGTTGGTCTCCTCGTGGAAGAAAAAGTCGCGCTCTGTGCTCCCCAGTAAGGTGTCAGGGTACCTCTCCAAAGTATTCCGCCAAGTTTGAAACCTAGTGCCGCTGACGTTCAAGATGATCAACCCGTCCTGACCACGCTTCTTGTCCCGCGGAGGCGGCGGCATCGGGGCGCTCGCCACGGGCATCCATCCTATAGCTGCGGCGCGCGCGAACGGTAGCCACGCGGCGACTCCGGCTGCCATCCTGACCCAATGTGCGCGAACCGGTGCGACTGAAGCAGATTTTGCGCTCACTGATCCGCCACGCGCAGAAAGGACATCTGGAGGGACACAATGCGCAATCAGTTGGCGTAAACTTAAGCAATACTATCACTCACGTGAACAACGAGCCGCGTTACACATCCAGATTAAAGCATTCTAACAACAAAATGAGAGAATATAATGAGAGAGAACGTAAAAATGTCTATACGCGTACAAACTGCACGTGCTGACCTATTGCTCGAGAGCGAAAGAGAAAGCTTACCTCCTCATAAATGGATTTTGATGCAAAAGTGCAGCTTTTTACACACAGTTCATCAGTTATAGTCCACTTTGTATCGCTGTTCCGTCGTTACGCGCAAATAAGTATCCAAAATGCGCTCTCGGAGGTGTTCTGGAGCAAATGCAACAAGTTTACAAGTCAGGTAGAGGATTCGCGTTGTCCAAGGACATCCTTTTAGCCAGTCACAGCTGATATGTGCTTCACACTACCGCTTATAGAGAAAACCTGCCACAGTGGTCCTTTCATAGGGAGAGAAGACCACCCTGGCGAGTGCGCGTTCGGTGTTTCAAAAAAAGCAAATGCCACTTTCCTATCCGCTTCCTTGAAATGTAATCCAGCGTCCCGTGAACAATTTGGCAGGGTCTGTCTGTAACCAGAACAAAAACTGAACCTGCAACAAATGATTTGCTGGAAGTTGCTTCATCCGCTACCGACGGAGATCTGTGAGTCTGCGGTGGAGCCCAAGTTGCTTCTGCTCACGGCGCATTGGAGGCGTGTCACGTGCTACGGGCATCGGTTAACACATATGAATGTAACACGGTCTGTGTGAATGGTGTATAATGTACCATGAGAAGTGTTACGTTTCAATGTTTATTTGAAGCATTTATTTCTGTCATGAATAGAAAAACAAACACCCCCGTATAACGCATTGTGTAAAGACATCATTAAACAGATTTATGTTTAAGCAGAGTTTAACAGGAATTCAGTGAAGCGCTGAATTGCGAGCTGAGAGACTGGGAGTGAAAGCATTGCGGATGTTTTTACGTCTCAGGTTATTGATTCACACATTCAGCACTGACAGATATAAAATGGGGGAAGCCGCTAGATGGAGACAGTTTTCAGAGGTGAATGAAGATCAGACCTGTAAGAGCAATAGATTCGAGTCATGTGAAGGTCTTTTGCTGTGACAAACACAATCAGCAAGCTCGAAAATGCGATTATCTGTGTTGCAACTCTCCATACATGGGTCAATGACAAATAAGGATGTTTGAGATGATAAGAGGAGAAATGCTGCACACGTTGCAAATCTAATCTGACTGTAATTATCCGTTATTATAGATAGATAGATAGATAGATAGATAGATAGATAGATAGATAGATAGATAGATAGATAGATAGATAGATAGATAGATAGATAGATAGATCTGTCAGTGCAATAAATCATCCATATTAAAATTGACACCTACAGTACAACCACTTTTTAACGAGGGAGAGAGAGATTAGAGAGAGAAATAACATAATCTGTAAAACAAAATCGCTTCACTTAAATAAGAATTAAAAATGGAATATAATCAGTCAGAAATTATCATATATTAAAATTTTAATTCTTTGCTGAGATAAACTTGTTTTTACGTCAGAACTGTGGCTTCTAAGATAATGCCCCAGCTTCTGAAAAAATCGACTTCGCCAAAAACTGATTTGAGCGAGTGAACCAAAACAGCTGCGGCAGCTCAGAGCGCCGTGCGTGTTTGTGCGCGCGCGCCCCCGTGATGAATTTCCTGGCGCGGGGCCTCCATATTCTCAACTGCCTTCCAAATTAGTCACATAGACGTATCGCAGATTAAATGTTGCGAGAGGAAAAAGAGAGAGTCTTTGATCTCCATGGCTTGCAGGGGTTTTCTTTTCAGCACCATGGACAGCGACCAGCCGCAAATACAGGCGTGCTGCTTGTTAGCACTGCGGACAGCGACTGTCGCTCTATTGAATATTGGCAACGAGCTTCTAATGTTTACATGCACTTTCTAATATCTTTAGGATATATTTTCTGTCTTTTGATGGCATTACAGTCCTTGAAATGCAGAATTGTACTGATTATCATCAAATGTCCTTCCACTCACCTTACTGCAGTTAACCTCAATCTACTAGATGCATTTTGTTCACACTGTTTACAACGTGTTCTTTTCACACGGTTTATAATTTGTTTGTAAATCCCGCCATCCAAAACATGTGTGTGTATTTGAACCCTGTATATTTTTAACTTAATCTTCTGTTTCATACTTCTCAAATTGTGAACTTTGATGCTGAAAATAAGTAATAAAGAAAAAGAGGCCAAAATCGGATGTTGTTTTGTATATATATTTATATATGTATATTAGTTTATCATTTTATTGTATATAACACCACTGTATTATTTAATTTTATGAATCTTCAATTTAAATAATTTAAATATACATATATAAAGTTGTCCTACACTCTTTTAACATTTTATTGCATTTTGAGAGAAAAAAGAAACAAAATACTAAACAAAAGGATATTAATCTTGTAATTTCACTATCCTTTATTTCACTGTAATTTCAGGCATTGTTTGCCTTTTTTCTAAAACATTTGATCCGTTTTTACACAAATTGTAGCATAGAACGCGTTTGTTGTGCTTGTCTATTTATGTACTACAACAAAAATATGGTATTATTTTAAATATTTTATAGTACATTATAGTTTTCACTAACAAACACAAATACCATGTAAATACGACAGAAAATCAATATACAAATAAAATACGTCTTTAAAAAAATCACTATGACCTTCTGAGGTTGACAACTGACCTTTTCACTGACCATCATATCGGCTGTAAGCCAGCATTTCAAAAAACACTAACTTTTCTTTCGCTGCCTCTAAAGCACTACCATTTCCTTCAAGAAAAGCAAATCTGCTTTAGCAATGTCACGGGCAACCCACACTCACACAAAACCACACCGCGCTAAACTCCATTCATTTTCAAAGCTAACAGGATTGCCTCATTTGAGCATTCTGTACCGTGGCCACGCACTATGTTTTACACAGAATGAACCAGAATAGTAGTGTTCAGCACCATCACAGTCAATTTTCTGACTTTTGTTCAGTGCGTTTCCCTGCCTCGGGTTGTTAGAGAAATGGCGCCAAAATATGACAGGCGCCGATGTCACCATGGTTACCAGTCACATCTATTTCAGTCCCGTGAGCTAAACCTGACAGTGTTGATGCATGAAGAATGTGCATCCTGACAGCTCATTGCCTAAGCGTGATAAAACTCACACCTCAGCCGAATTTAAAGAGAACAAATTATGAAAATCAGCTTTTTCTGCACTTTCAACACAAATAGTTGACTTTACTTATGTGAAAGCATGTTGCCTTAAGCAAGGGGTTTCAAAACTTTTCAGCCCGTGACCCCCAAAATAACAATGCCAGTGACTTGTGATCACCAAAATCCTTGGTGTAAAATATAAATATACAAACATTGCACACACAACAATAGGTCTATATAAACACAAGCTTGGTGCTAACGAGGCTCTGTTTTTTTTTTTTTTTCCGAGGGTCATCTTCAAATATTTAATAATTCTGAAATATATATATACAGTTGAAGTCAGAATTATTAGCCCCCCTGAATTATTAGCTGCCCTGTTTATTCTTTTCCCCAATTTCTGTTTAACGGAGAGAAGATCAACACATTTCTAAACACAATAGTTTTAATAACTCAACTCTAATAACTGATTTATTTTATCTTTGCCATGATGACAGTAAATAATATTTTACTAGACATTTTTTAAGACACTTCTATACAGTCTAAAGTCGCATTTAAAGGCTTAACTAGGTAAATTAGATTAACTAGGCAGGTTAGGGTAATTAGCCAAGTTATTGTATAACAATGGTTTGTTCTGTAAACAGTCAAAAATTGGCTAATAATATTGACCTTAAAATGGTTCATAAAAAAATTAAACACTGCTTTTATTCTTGCCGAAATAAAACAAATAAGACTTTCTCCAGAAGAGAAAAATATTATCAGACATACTGTGAAAATTTCCTTGCTCTGTTAAACATTATTTGGGAAATATATATGTTAGTATGCATTACAGTGTACTGTAAAAAAAATTTTATTAAACGTCTTTAAAAATCATTCATTCATCTATGTATTAAATATTAAATATTTTGCATAAAAAATGAGCTGCTCAAAGTTTGCTCCCCACAAAAGTTGAATGTTATTGCTTCCACCAAAAAAGTGAACATTAGACTAGTTATAATATATTATCTGTGTGGTATCTTGAGCTGAAACTTCACAGATACATTCTTGGGACGTCAGCAAGTTTTTACCTCTTATGAAAAAAAAAAAAAAAACATAATATATCCCCTTTCAAATACCTTTCCCCATTGGAATAGCACTCTGAATCTGTGATGTACCTTTGAGTTTGAGTAAGATGCATCTCATCGGTCCACAGACGTGCCAGACCACAGCTGAATAGACACTTATAAATTGACAGAAAATGAAAAGGAACATCTTTATTCAAACTCTTTACGCTGGAGGTCAAACCACAGAGACGCTTATTAGAAATGATCTTTATCACTGGAGACTGGACCACGAGGACATCAGAAAGGCTGTTTCAGCATGCATGAGAGCTGGATATGACTTTAACTGACTGCCTGATCAGTGTGTTTGAAATTCTGCTGGGGATGATGTGAAGCTTTTCGCCATTTATTATGTTCAGCCTCTCTTTTTAGGCCAAACATTACTTTGCAGGTCATGTTATGCCTTCAGGAATGCTGCATTAAATCAGGAATAATGATTGAAAAGGCTTGATTTGGGTCTATGGGCAGGTACATAAACATAAACAGGGTGGGGGACATGTCAGGACAAAACTTCAAAGATAAATGATGAGTCCAGTGTCATTTGCACACAACTTGTGTTGTTCTCAACCAAATTTAAAAAGTGATGAATGATGAAAAAAAAAAAGATGAAAATCTGCTTTTTTTCTGCTATGTTAACACAAATAGTTGACTTTACTAGAAGGTTATGTGGAAGCCTGTTGCCTCAAACCACTTAAATATGGTAAATAATTGTGAAATAAAAAAAATAACTGAAATTTTAAAGTAGAAAATCTAAAGTAACAGTTTTTGGTAAACAATTTGGTTAACAACTGTCTTAAATACATGGAAAACTTCTTTAAAAAACCGATAACAAAAGCTGCTAAAATTACAATTGAAAATGTATTGTAAAATGTATACTGGAGTATTAAAAACTCTAATAACTGACAAGAACATTATTTGAGAAAAAAACTTTATCCTTTATGAATTTGTTTGATATAGTCAAGAAAAAGCAACCAACAAATGACCAGCATCTATATAATTTCCAGTAATAAAAAATGATACTATTTCTACAGTGTGCAATTTTAATACAGTGTAACCAATTTTCAGTTTCCACTATGAAACTGCTAGTAAAAGTTATATTTGAACACAAAGAAACAAGTAATATTGAATAGAATGACTGAAAATGTATATTCTCGTACTTACTTCATGCAGTCTATTTTCACAGTTAAAAAGATCAAATGAATTTCTTTCATTTATGTACTATATATGTGTGTGTGTGTGTGTGTGTGCAGTGTGGTGAAGGTGAGTGATCTGAAGCACTCATTATCTCTGCCATTCTCTATACAAAGTTGAACAATACTGCACACGCTCCACCGCCTCGGCCATATAAAAAGAATAGGCGCGTTATACAACCCTCACTTGTAAAACTAGATTAAATATGCACTTAAACTCCCATGAGTTGCTCATTCAGCATCAGAGCAAATGCAGTGCTGTTTAACAGTTTTAACATGCATAACATAACATCCATAAATCTTCATCTAGAAAAGCGAGATGATTCCTGCTGCTGTTTGTAGGGCTCTCTGGCATCTGTCTGGCTTTCCCATCAAGCTTCACGAATATGCAAGCTGTGAGTGACACGATATCATGAACGCCGCCGGTGTTTTTCAACCCCTCTGACAGGATCCATGGTAACGGTATAACCGTAATAATGTCATTTTTCATACCTGACAATGCCGTTCATAGTGAACACCCCACACCGGTCGTTCATCACCCGTGTGTACTGGACTGAAGGCTGGAGGACAAGACTGTCGCAAACTCAACAAGCTTGAGATTCACACAAACAACTCGTGATGCATTTCAGAGGCGCTTTGCATGATTAAAATGGAGTTTATGAATATTAATGCGGAATCGGTATGAAATATTCATATTATCGGTTTCTGTCAGACATGCTGGTTCGTGTTTGCTCCCTAATAAACGAGTTCATCGATTTCTGAGCAAACAGATTTG